CTCAAACTTCATGAACTCGTTGACTATCCCATCCGCTCCTGCTGCTTTGTGGCACTTCAGCTTGTTCACACACGCCTCAACCTCGTCCTCAGTGAACTCCTTTTCTAGTTCTACGTTCCCAACGTCTGCCTTCGATGTCTCTCCTTCTTTTTGGGCCCATGCGTCCACCTCCTTCTTAAACACTTGCAGGGGGGGCGGAGGATATCATTTTAGTGAGGGGGCGGAGGATGCCGTTCAGTGAGTACAGGCGCGCCGTATGTACACCCTTTAATCCTTTTTGAGCACGACCCGGGGAATGGTCTTGTTCTTCGGTGAAAGGAACACTCCGGGGCGATCGTTTTCGAATTGTACAACAGCCTGTGGGCGAGAACTTCCCGGTGGCGTTGTCTCTTTTTCTCAGTTGCGAGGCACCCGTACCCACAACACAGCGCTGGGGCTCAACAGCATCTTCGAGAAAGCATACAACAAGCACAAGAAGGTCGATTGGGGACGGTTGCGGCCTTCGTCAGCGGTGGATGGTACGCAATCCGACTTGAGGGGTAGTGCTCGGGCCATGTAGACCTCTGCGAACCCCCCGTGGGGCGCCTCAATAATTTCATGAAAAGATTGATTTGAGACAGAAGGGCGGAAACAAATGAAACACACACATCGAGGCTTCATCTTGAAGTGTTTGTGCGACCTCTGCGGCATTTGTCTTTGGGGGTGGGCGTTCTCATGGAGGGGGGCGTTCATCTCGAAGGATATTACCGTGCGCGTTGTCCATGGAAATTCGTTCAACTATGTGTAAGTCTTGAGTAAGTCACGGGCAAGCATGACACGAAAATGCACACGAGCTCTTCATGTGCAGTCAGCAGCTGGTTCAATCCACCCAACTGCGTAGTTCACTCGATTCAGAGGACCAACAAGTGATAATTTGCAGAATTGGCTACAACGAACCGGTTTGACTCAGCGGTGGGCGCCGGTCCGGCCTTCTCCCGCCTTCAAACGGGTTTCATACACTTGCGGATTGGGGCGTTCAATGGGCACGCTTTGCAGCCGATTCCTTTACGCCTGTTCCATAGGATCTACAGGTGTGCGTCGAGGCACGGATTGACGTTGATCACGAACTATTCCCTTTTGGGGGGTGGCGCCCAGACGGACACCTCACACGATGAATTGCGTCAAAGAGATAGAATCGGTTTACTCGCATCAGACAGGCTATGGTGGACTTGGTCCGCATTGCCGGTGGCGGATGCTCCTCCTCCATCTCGCCCGGTGCCTGCTACCCCGCTCTCGTGGGCCAACTTCGTTTCCTCAACTCCTTAGTTGCTGTACGCAGGAGACGGTTGGGGAGGAGTGGAGGGCGCGAGCAGCACGCGCAACAGCAGTGGGGTCAAACCATCGGCCAGGCCGGGCAAGATACTCCGTACAACATGTTTCCCAGAACAAGATTTGCTGTAGATACCTTGTGAATGTTGGTGTTTTTTTGTCTGTGTTCCACCTAGATCTCTGGGGCTCTGGGTGACCACCACAGACTTCGGGGTGTAACATGAGAGGCGTGATGCCCGTTAGGTCCGTATGGGTCCCCCGGGATGTTCATTAATTCGTGGCTTTCTCGATGGAAATATCGCGTCTTGCGAGCATCTACATACACTCAGGCCTATGCATGACCATCTTCCCGTTGTTCTCGACACCATACAGGTACCCTGTTCCTCGATATGGGGTTGCTTGTTCCAACTCAATCCATGGCAATAACGGCCGTTTTGACTGCCGAGATGCTGGCAATATTGTTTGTGCTTATGTCTCACGTCTAGAGGGACATTAACAGACGCTCTTCGCAATAATCAAAGTGGTTTTCCAGCCGACCTTGGAAATACAAAATGTCTGGAAGAGAGTACGCCATCCAAACAAGCATGGAACACTGCTTGATGTCAATGACATTCTCGTCGGCCCCAAGCCTTGACACGTTGGGGTCACCAACCTGACGCAACCGACGCACGACCGTGGTCGGGAACTCCTCGGCATGACGAACACCATCGACTCAGGTGCACTGTAAAAACCCACCTCTTCCGGTCTCCCTGCGGCTTGTGCTGCCCGTGCCGCTCCTGTTGATGCCGACACCTGCAGTCCCAGCGCCGGCCGGTGATGAAGCAGCAACCGGGGATGCTGCAGCTGGCTTGACGCCGAGGTTTGAGTCCCGTGCTGTATCTTGTGGTGCTCTCTCAGCGCGAAGAATGACCTGGCTAAGGAGGACTTGGATCTCGATGGCCGTTTGGAGGCTACGCACGAAGGTCGAGAGACAGGGGACGAGGGCGGCGTGCCAAGCACATGTGAGTGATGGCGATGTTTTTCCACACAACGTTTCCTATTACGATCGAACACTCGGCCGCAACCCAGACAAAGCGTACAAGAAAGGGCGAAATAGCAGGAACAGGGTAGGACAATATCGCAACCAAAACTCCGCAAACCAGGGAAGGTGCGATGGATTCCAACTGATAGCCTCGCGGGTGGGCTGTTTCACACAAGGGTGACGAGAGCGAGACAGAAATTGGAAAATCTGAACGCGAGACAGAGCCGCACAGCGGTAGCGTTTCTTTGTGGCAAGCCACGAAGTCTCATGACTTGAATGTATGTGCACGCTCAGGTCAAATCACGTTATCACCCAAACGACCAGGGACCTGAATCAGTGTGCCCGTCAGGCCGACTGCCATGTTGAAAGCTACCGGGTTCTGCCGTCCCCATCGTTGTGCCAGATCAAATATTCGTGGGAGCGAAAATTGAGTTTCATCCGTCGACAAGGGACGGGCACGACTGTCCAATCGTCACGCCATGCCGGAAAAAATATGCTTGTCCTTTTGAGCTCTGTTGGCAATATGAATCTGGCGCAACATGCAATGAACCTGCGCTTGGATGCTTAAGAGATCGAGGCAGGGGATCTGGTGTGTATGCAAAACCTGGCAGGAAAGAGGCAGCGTTCATCAACAGAATGAATAAGGACCAGACCTTTCCCAAGAAGGTCGGCAGGTAGGCCTCAACACCAAGACAGGCCGCTCATCCAAACCGTGTTGGCTATTTATTGGGTCGTCCTCACTTGGTGTGTATGTTGAACAGCTCCACCCCTTCTCCGGTGCTAATGGGGAAGTCCGAGTCTTGCGTCTCGCCCTTGCCGGTCGTCGATCCGCTTCCCGACGTCCCCGACGACCC